AATAATATTATTAATAAAGGTGAATTGTGAATGCTTTCAAGAATTCCCACTAAGGAATAATGTGTGTGTGACTGTAGTTCTGCACAAGAAGCAAATAAAAAATGAGAAATTTTTATGGAATGTTAAAACTGGGAAGATCTTAGAGATCAGTAATTCATAGTTTGGCTTCATATGTTTTATTACCAAAAAATCTCTTAAAAGTCTTTTATTTCTGTGAAGAGGACACTTTGATTTGAAACATTTTCTGATAATATCTATGTGTATATATATATATTTTATATTATCTATTCCTTTATTTCTTCATTATTGCTTAATAATCTGTACTGTCATTAGTCCTTTAATTCAGCATGAAGTAGCCTTTTAAGGTTGAATGTTTAAGGCTGAGTGTAGACCACACATAAAAAAGAATACTGGTTAAAGCAGCTAGACCAGGAGGGAGATGCTGAAGCTACTTTCATCCCCATCACACCTTCAGTGACTCTCATTTACATAACGACAACTCCATGCACTTTTGTAGATACCTATCTTTCCATCCCTCTACTAATAGCATTGGATCTTCTTGCTCCTGTCTCACAGTTTGAGACTTTTCCTTTGGCACATGTTGCACATCTTTCTGCAACTACCTACTTGGCTGTGCCTTTAGTCCCTTCTTCCCTGATTTGCTCTCGAGTTGTCCCTAACACCTGGGACATCTCACATCCTGATCCACATTCTTGCCCAAGCCTGGATTCCAGAGGATCAAGGTCCAGCCCTTGACATGGTAAATCTATAATGTTTCTACTTTGATGAGACATAATAGGCAAGCTGCAGCTTCAGAATAATTTATTTACTTAATATCTCCCCAGAGGTGGTATATAGATTTCTAACTCCACAGTATTTCTGAATGCATAGCATGTCTTCAAAATTCTCTTACTTCTGATTTTATGCCTATTAAATCCTCAGTGAAACCATGTCTGTGTCTTGTACTGAAGACTTCTCCTTCCAATGAAGTATTAGCAACACTTACACTGCTCAACTGGTTTATTGTTAACTCCATTGGAATGCCATAGAAACAGCACAGACTTTAATGTTAGGTGAATCTGGGCTCACACTGTAAATTTACCACATCCCATTTCTGTGATCCTCAGCAAGCTACTTAACCTCTTTAAGCTTGTATTTCATTACCTGCAAAACGTTGATGACAATATCTATTTCATAAAACTGTTGTGAAAGTTTAAGAACTACATCTGTTCTGGTCTTCCTACTGCCTGTCATTTCTAATGAAGACAACATATTTTCAAAATTATCCATTTATTGGCAAGAATAGAATTGTATAATGGGAAGCATTACTAAATCCTCTATTGGACTCTGGCTCTCGTGCTCATTTCAGCAGCACATATACTAAAATTGACTGCAGCTCTGCTTTAATTAGTTTTGTTAGTTTGGATAAATATCTTCTATCCAAGGAGTACATGGTAGAAAGACACACTTTTCATATTCAATGTTTCTTTTCCATGTGTAGAAGATGTGAGAGGCACAATGTTTTTCTTCCCTTTCATTCACTCAAATACACTTGTCCATGGAAAAATCAATGCTCATTTGCCCATCTCTCTGCTTTTCCATTCCTCTTGCAAGGTGCTATCCACAGGGATGTGTTCCAGTCTGTTATGAGCAATTCTTTCTCTTGAGAGGAGATCCTCCCATACTTCAATGTAGCTGAGAGAGTTGATCTGCCTAAGGTTGAGAGATTCAGTGTCAAACAGATCATTTTTCTACATTATCCAAAATCAGAGTGCATCAGCACTACAGTTGTTATTTGGGTTCTACTTAAATTACTCTTTCATGTTATTTTTTAGTTGCTTCAGAACTGAGGCGGGAAGCAGGGATGTAGACCTTGGGTCTGTAACACCTTTACTTCTCTGGGCCCCAAATTACTCACGAGTAAGGAGATCGGTGCTAATTTCTTGGTCTAAACTTCTGTGCTCTGAGGGCAATAATGACTATGACCTCATCTCACACAGTGGATGCTATGGAGAAAATTTTCACCAAATGGTAATGTTTTTAATTCCACACAGAGAAGTACAGAAAGATGAGTTCAAGATAGGAAGACTTTACAGGAGGATGGATGAATGCATTTTTTTATAGTTTCCCAAGCGTCTAGACTACACAGAAATTTAAAAACTAGTTAAAGCTGTATGTCTATCCCCTCCTTAAATCAAATTATAAGCTTTCCTAAAAGAATCTGCCCTGGAAAAAATTAATGTACAGCAGTACCTCAGTTCATGAACTTAATTCTTTCCATGATTCTCATTGCAAACTGAATTGGATAAGAACTGAATCAAATTTCCCCATAAAGTCAACAATGAACCTAAGCAGGATAATTTTTAATAAAGACAAGAAAACCCCGAATGTGGTAGTCAGTCAGCTATCTTATTATTCATCTATGGTTAGCCACTGGAAAACTAGAAGTTGTTGGTTCCAAGTCACAGCTCACATTCTCAGGCATAGTCCATCCATAGCATCAGAGCATAATTGATATTTCAATGCCTGGGAAGCAGAATCCTGGCTCCTGAGAGAACACTCTGCTGATGTTTATATAATGGACTCTTGGTATGTGGGCTGGGTGGAAAAACAGGACCAAGATTTAGAAAGGAACTAATGTTAGTTAGCAGAAAATAGTTGATTTGATCCCAAACACAAAAACAAATAATTAACTTAGCAACATTGTGTACGACTGTGTGTGTGAAGGTAGAGAAAATGATGAGAAAAAAGGCAGATCCCAGGGGTTTTTTTTAATGCCAGAATTAGTTCTTTTTCCTTTCTCTTCTCTTCCCTTCTCTCCCTTCCTCTTTCCTCCTTTTTTCCCCATCCTTCCTTTCATTCACCCTTCTTCACTTCTATATATTCACATCCTTGCCTCTCCTCTCTCTTTTCTCTTCTCTCTCCCTCTCCCTCTCTCTCTGTCTCTTCCCCTCCTCTTTCTCTTCTTTCTTCTCTCTTACCAAACTGTGACAACATCCATTTGGCAGGAAATTTGACAGCGGATAGATGCTGAATTTTGCTTAAGTATCTATTACCAGGATTTTAGAAAATTTCACAAAAGATATTGGCACCCAGCCACAGACTTGAAGCCAGAGTAAACAGGGTTATGTATTTTTAAAACTAGCTTTGAAAGTATCAATGTTTTGAGGTGAGATGGGGCACAGTATCTCCTTCCAGAGAAGACAAAGCCCTAGATAGAAAATCCAAAAAAATCATTTGGAAGCCATGATGGAATTTTGATGGCTGAATTGTAATAGCTTGACCCTCTATCATACTACTGTTTTTGCAGCTGAAGTTGTGTCAACACAAGAATTGTAACAAAATACCAAAGACAGTCCTGGTTTGATTAATAATCAGGAAAATACTTAATATTTTGATACAAACCCTTCTGGTCAGAACTGTGTGGTTAGGGTAAAAAGCTTACATTAAACCATTTCTTTCTCCCCATGAGCATCTTCGTACTCTATTTCTGAAGCTCAGAGAGTGAGTCTCCTGTCACAGTATGAGACAGAGGCACTCTGTAATATGACTTACAGTGCTGTAAGAAATGGCAGGCTTGTAGGTTGATTGCCCCCAGTGCCATTTCAGGAGGTGATATTATCATTCCCATTTTACAAGACTACGACCCAAAGCACAAAACTTGTAAGTTGTCCAAGGCAGTGTAGTTTGTAAGAGCTACACCAAGGATATGAACATGGTAACTCTGGCCCAACAGTGCTTGGGTTTATACCATTTTCAACAGAGAACAATGTACTATAATTGTTATCATTAAGTGCCTAGACTGAGGTCAACATTGTAATACATATTTTTTTCTTTAGTCACAAAATAATGGTATCCCAAAATAATAAAGTCCAAACTTTTCTCCTTTATTTCTTATTCTATTTGCTTTTATCCCTAACTGTTAATTTCTCCTCTCTCTCTCTCTCTCTCTCTCTCTCTCTCTCTCCATTTGCTTTAAAGTTTTCTTGCATCCCATTTTGACTGCTTCACCTATGGCAGTTCCTCCACACCTCTCAAATTCTCTCCATCTCTGTAGCCTGCATTTCTTTTTAAATTAAATTTATTTTAACTGACGCATAAAATATAAAAATTATACATATTTATGGAATACTTGTGATGTTTCAATACATATATATTATGTATTGTTGAAAATCAAATTAAATGTATCTATGTCAAACATTTATCAGTTCTTTATGGTGAAAACATTCAAATTCTTTTCCTTTAGCTTTTGAAAATATACAGTGTATAGGTAACATAATTGTTATGTATAATCACCCTACTCTGCACCAGCATACAAGAACTTCCTTCTCCTAATTATAATTTAGTACACACTGATGGACCTCTTCTCATCCCTTCCTCTCCCTTTATGTCCCTCAGCCTCAGATAACCACCATTCCACTCTCACTTTCAAGTTGAACTTTTTTTATTCCACACCTGAATAAGATCAAACAGTGCTTATTTTCCTGTGCCTGTTTTTTATCACTTAATATAATCACCTCCGGTTCCATACGTGGAGGAGGATTCCATTCATTTTTATTATTGAATAATATTCTACTGTATTTTTGTAGCATAATGTACCCATTCATCAGTTGATGGGCATTTCAGTTGTTTCCACTTCTTCAATATTGTGTTTCAACAAACAAGGAAATACATATTTTTCTTCAAAAATACTTTGTATTTATAGATAGTAGTTACATTGCTGGGTCATATGATAGTTCTACTTTTAATTTTTTGAGGAGCCTCCATACTGAATTCCATAATGGCTGTACTAATTTACACTCTTACCAACAGTGTACAAGAGTTCTCTCTTCTCCACATTCATCCATCACTCATTATTTTTTATCTTTAATAATAGGCATTCTCACTGGAGTAAGGTGATATCTCATTGTGGTTTTGTTTTGAATATCTGTGATGATCGGTGATCCTGAATATCTTTTCATAGACCTATTGGCTATTGTATGTCTTCTCTTTTTTTCATTAAGTTTATTGGTACATTTTAGGTATAAAATACAGTTACATTCATCATTGGGATCTTGTACCTTTACATGATATACCTTAGTTCTTATTTTTTCCCCATTTCCCTGCCCTCCCTTAACCCCTTCCACCCTTCCCTATTTACAGAGACTTAATGTGAAATAAGAAGAAAAGGTCTAAAGGAGTTGGAGAAATGGGAGGGGTAGGTGAAAGGAAAGAAGGGAAAAGAAAAACTATGAGAAAAGGAAAAAATGGAAACAAAGTCTCTTCTTTTGAGAAATGTCTATTTAGGTCTATACTCAATTTTTTAATAAGGGTGTTTTTGGCTTTTTGCTACTTTTTATTTCCTTGTATATTTTGGATAGTAAACTCCTGTCATAAGTATAGTTTGCATTATTTTCTTCCATTCTATAGGTTGCTTCTTCATGCTGTTGATTGTCCCCTGTGATGCACAAGCTTTTTGGTTTGATGTAATCTCATTTGTCTAATTTTTATTTGAATCCTGCACTTCTGGGGTCTTGTTCAAAAACTTCTTGTCCATCCTAACATCCTGAAGTAGGTGTTTCATAGTTTCAGGTCTTACATTTAACTTTTTAATCCATTTTGAGTTAATATCTGAAACTTATAAGACATAAGGACCCAGTGTTGTCTTGTTCTGTTTTGTTTTTTTCCTTATGGATATTTAGTTTCCCAGAACCACTTATTGAAACAACTGTCTTTTCTCTGTGTGTTCTTAGCATTTTTGTCAAAAATCAGTTGATTATAGCTATATAAGCTTACTTCTAGGCTCTCTGTTCTGTTCCATTAGTATCTGTTAGTTTTAAGGCCAATACCGTGCTGATTTGACTATTACAGCTTTCTAGTATATTTTGAAGTCAGGTAGTCTAATGCCTTGCTCAAGATTGCTTTAGTTATTGTATTTACATACAAATTTTAGGATTTTTTTCTAATTCTGTGAGGAATATCTTTGGTATTTTGATTCAGATGGCATTCAGTCTGTGGCTCACTTTGAGTGTTGTGGACATTTTAACAATATCAATTCTTTCATAAACACAGGATATCTTTCCCACTGTGTGTTTGTTTGTGTGTGTGCGTGTCTGTGTGTCAGTGTCTGTTTGTCTGTGTGTGAGTGTCCTCTTAATTTTTTACATCAGTGTTTTATAGTTTCCATTGTAGAGACCTTTCATCTCCTTGGTCAAATTTATTCCTAGGTATTTTGTAGATATTGTAAATGAGATTGCTTTCTTGATTTCTATTTCACATAATTTACTATTGGGTTGTAGCTGCACTATTTTTTTTTTGTTTTGGTTTTGTTTTTTGGTTCCAGTGATTGAACTTGTAGTGGCACTATTAATTTTTGTATGTTGATTTGTATTCTGTAAATTTACTGAATTTTTAGTCAACAGGTTTTTGGTGGAGTCTTTGCAATTGTCTATACATATGATCATGTCTTCTACACACAGTGACAGCTTGACTTCTTTTCCAATTTGTGTAAACTCTTATTTCTTTCTCTTGCATGATTGGCCTGTCCTAGGATTTCTAATATGATGTTGAAGAAAATTGGTGAAAGTGAATATTCTTGTCTTGTTCCAAACATTAAAGAAAAACTTTCAACTTTTTCCCATGTGGAATGATGTTAGCTGTTCATTTTGTATATGACCTTTATTATGTTAAGGTATGTTCACTCTAGACATAAATTGATGAGAGTTTTTTAAATCATAAAACAATGTTGAATTTTATCAATACATTTTCTGCATTTATTGAGATAATCATATGGTTTTGTCCTTCATTTTGTTGATGTGCTGTATCTTATTTATTTTTTTGTATATTTTAAAAGATGGTTGAACCATCCTTGTATCCCCGGGATGAATCTCACTTGATCATAGTAAGTAATCTTTTAAATGTGCTGTTGGATTCAGTTTGTTGATATTTTATTGAAGATTTTTACATGTACATTCATTAAGGATATTGACCTATAGCACTCTTTTGTTGCATCTTTGTCTGATTTTGATGGCTGGGTAATGCTGGCCCTGAACAATGTATATGGAAGAATTCTCTCCATTTAAATTTTTGGAGTGATTTAAGTATTTAAATTTTTTGTAGAATTCAGTAATTAAGCCATCTGGTCCTGGGCTTTTCTTTGATAGAAGACTTTTCATTATTGCTTCAATGTTATTATTCACTACTGATACATTCAAATTTTCTATTTCTTCATGATTCACTCTTTATATTGCTATTTTTGAAATAGATAATTGGATAATGCTATGACTACTCCCCAAGGCTTCAACTGGCTGCATCTCAAGTATTCTCCTTGGAAAAGGAAATTGCTCCTATTCTCTGAATTACCCATAGGTGGTCCCTCTCTTCCATAGAAAAGTTTTGGGTAAGATATTTCTGGATTTCAAATACTTACACCCTGCCACTCAGATCCTGACACATAAGTCATTCTAACCCTACATCCTCTATTTAAGAATGGCTCTTAGTGAGTGAGGCTTTTAGCTGTTATAGAACCAGTAACATTCATATCTCCAAAGATATATTATTAGAAAAGAAATAGAATGAGTTATGATTTTAGAACCTCTGGGTATAAACTTTGACTCCATTTCATAATATTGTTTATTCTTGAGAATGTCAGTTAATACTTGTGAGCTTTCATTTCTTTCTATATAAAAAGCACAGTAACAAATACTACATCTTACCTACTACACTGATGTAGAAGTTAGGATTTCGGTTTGGCAATGTGACAAAATATCTAAACTAACAGTGGCTGAAATGACATAAAGACAAAATTCTCATATACATATTTAGATAATTGGTGCAGGGCTGATAAAATGACTCAATAACCATGAGAACTCAAGGTCCTTCTAACTTGTTATTCTATCATCCCTACTGTGATATTTTCGTCTTATGATGTAAGATAGTTGCACCTACTCCCACAGTCAGATTTCAACTGCTCTCTAATTACAGGTAGGAGGGAAGGGCAAAAGAAACAAATAACTTTGCTATAGAGACCCTATTTAAAAGCTAAAAACAGAGAAATGACAACAGAAAAAATAGCAGATGGTAAGGATCTCCAAAACCTCTCTTCTCCATAAGAGCAATGAGAAAACCAGCAAAAATTTTCACAATCACCTCTTTTGAAACTGTGGAAATTAACCAAAGGCTTGTAGCAATCTAGAAAGCATTTATTCAGGAAAGGCAATGAAATCTCAGTAAGAAAAATAAGATTTCTGGCACTTTCTGGCATTTTAATTTGTCTTAATCTCATTCCCCTATCTCCAGCTCCTCAATAACCTTGAAAACTAATAACCTCTATTTGCAATGAAAACCAAAAGCCTGCAGTTTCTGAAGGAAGCAGACAGAGCTGAAGTTCTTTTATCTAATCCTCATTTCCAAATAATTATTATTATTTGACTTGTCTTATTCCCAATTAGATTCCACTTGCAAAATCTCTCTGTATGACTAAGATCTGTCCAGTGAAATAATCATTTTCCCTGAGATTCTTGTTTGAAGAACAATTACAGGAAATTATTTAATCTACACAACTAAGAAATTCACCATATTCTGAATAAAATAAACATTAAGAAATCCACTGATACATATCATAAAGAAACCATCAAAAGACCAAAAAATCTTAAGACAGCAAGAAAAACATGACTTTAGAAGCAAAAGTCCTTAACATTAACAGCAGGTTTCTTATCAGAAACCATGAAGGACAGCAGAGAGATGATATCTAAAGTGCTAGTAAGGAAAGAAAACTATCAAATAAGAATTCTAAGAACATACAACAAAATAGCAGCACTGTTTTCTAAAAACAGATACATTTGCAAATGAACAAAAGCTGAGAAAATTCATTAATAGTATACCTGCTCTAAAAGCATACCATAGAGTGTCCTTCATTCTGAAACAAAAGGATAAGAGACAGTAAGTTAGATTCACAAGAGGAAATAAAAAGCACCAGTAAAAATAACCACATAAGCAAAGATAAAATAAATGTAAATGTATATTTAGTTTGTCATTCTTTTCTTCTGATTTAAAAGTCAACTTCTGAAAGCAATGAGTATAAATTTATACTAATAGCCACATAATATATAAATATATAAATTATATAAAAATTGAAGTTCAAAAGAAGATGGAGGAAAACATAGCTATATCAATTGTATATTGTGTTAATTAAATTGGTATTAATCCAAACTGGATTCTGAGAAAGACATTAATTGCAATCCCTAATATAGACACTAAGACAATAAATTATATAAAATGTAAATGTATTAGATACTGCAATTAAAAGATGAGTTGGAGAATAATTGTTTCAAACACATGATTAAACTATATTCCGTCTTAAGAAAAATGCTTTAGAGCCAAAGACAAAAATATGTTGTAATACGACATGTCACCAATAATGAAAAGAGTGTTGAAGTAACTAAACTATCAAACAAAATGGATTTTAAAATGAAAATCATTGCTAGAGACAAAGAAGGATTGTTGGGGTTTTTTCTTCTGACATCAAATATATAGTTCTTTCTAAGACCACTCCTCCAACTCACCAGCACCTACTAAGTGTCTTAAATTCAACTCGATTCTGTGATTAACTAACACGGAATTAACTTCCAGCCCTCACACCCAGAAGACCACCTTCAACTTAGATGCCCTAACAAGTTTCAGATGCCCGAGTTACTCACCTTTCTTTATGAATAGGCTGCAAATTTAGGGGTTCTCATGACTTCCCACCTCAGCTTCAATAATTTTCTAGAATAACTCACAGAATTCAATAAAGTTAAAGCACATTGCTTATTTCCAGATTATTATGGAAGATCCAACTCAAAAATAGCCAAATATAAGAAATTAGTAGGGCAAGGTATAGGGAGGGGGTGGCACAGAGCTCCCACGCCCTCTCTAAACATGCTTCTCTACTAGCACCTTGATGTGTGTACTAATTTGGAGGCTCTCTGAATCCCATCATATAGGGGGTTTTGTGGCAATTTTATTCCATAGACATGACAGAATAAATCATTGGCCATTGATGATCAACTCAATCTACACCCCTTCTCCCCTTCCAGGTAGTTGGGATATTGGACTGAATGTTCCAACCTCATAATTAAGACTACCTGAGGCTGGGGATTTGGCTCAGTGGTGCCGCCACCTGCCCTGCAAGTGCAAGATCCCAAGTTTGAACCCTGGTACCAAAAGAAAAAAGACTACTTGGTGACCAGTCCCTCCTGAAGCTATCTAGTGGCTCGACAAGAAGAATCAACTCATTAGAACAAATTATACTCTTGTCACCCAAATCACTAAGGGAAATTCCAATGGTCTTGGGAGCTCTGTGCCAGGAAGTAGAGAGATAAAGACCATGTATCTTTCTTAGGATATTACAAGGACACTATAATGAGCAAAGATAACAATATATGTGCACCTCACAACAAAGCCTCAAAATACACAAAGCAAAACTGACAGAATTAAAGGGTAGAATAATGACAAAACACAATAGAAATTTGGGTATCTCGTTTCAATATCGAACAACTAGGTAGAATATCAATGAAAAAATAGAAGACTTGAACAAATGTATAAACCAATAAGACCCAAAAGACATCTTATAGAACAGAAGTCCCCCAAAATTTTGGCACCAAGGACCAATTTTGTGGAAGACAAATATTTTATGTCAGGTGGGGAGGGAAAGATGGTTTCAGGATTAGATTCTCATAAGAAGCACAAATCCTAGATCACTTGCATGAGCAATTCACAGTAGGTTTTGAGCTCCTATGCGAATCTGATGCCCTGATGATCTGACGGGAGGTGGAGCTCAGTTGGTAATGTGAATGATGGTGAGAGTCTGTAAATACAGATGAAGATAAAGCTTCACTTTCTCACCTGACACTCAACTCCTGCTGTGTGGCCAAATAGGGACCCCATTATAGAACATTCCTCTCAATAACAACAGAATATGCATTTTTCTCAAGTGCACTCAGAACTTTATCCAGGATAGATTATGCATTAGGCCATGAAAGAGGTCTCAATAAATTTAAAAGAATGGATACCAAACAAAGTATATTCTCTGACCACAAAAAAATAAAATAAATCAATAACAGAAAGAAATTTTGGAAGTTTCTAATATATGAAAATTAAACAACACACTCCTAAATAACCAATAGATCAAAGAAAAAATCATAAGGAAATTTCAAAAGCCGCACACATTATTTTCACACACATTTTTCAGAACTGAGCAACATGGTCATAATTATGAGGCTTAGAGGCAGTGTTATTTTGCAAAACTATCTAAATATGGCAATTTATGTTATTAGGGGGAAACAAAGGGTTTGAAATTGGGGAACGTGTTATCAATCTCTGCCATGTAGTGTTGTTATGGGAACCAAATATAATAACATGTGAATGAGACCTTTGCCATTCATAAACCATCGTACAAATGTGAATCACCATCTCTCAGCTGTTCTACTTGGCAGGTAAGCCAGCCATCTCCAAGGCTGACTCAACCTCTAATTGAACAAACACTAAAAAAATAGTTTGTTAAATTGAATTCAACATTTACTGGCCAAGATTTCAAATGCAACACAAACACAGAAGAGAGCTTCTCCCCAGCGTTGATTAAAGAATAGTCTCATGCTTCCAAAAAGTTGCCCTGACACCCAAGTTATCCAGTCACTGACTTGTTTGGAGCAGAGTGGCTCTACAGTAGCTACAACTGTGGGCATTGCCAGGCACTTTAGATGTAAATAGCCCCTAGATTATCTTTTTCTCAGCTTTGTCTTTTTTAAACATTACCATGATTCCTATTTCTTTTAGAAGCCTTTTATGTAATTTCTTGTTTGTGAAAGAGAAGCAGTGAACACAGCTGACATAGAATCCAGTAAATAGAAGTCCCCAGCCTTGATTTATAAGTGCAGGTAGAGACTAGAGTACTTGCAGAGTCTCATTCTGAACCCATGCCATGAAATTGAAGTAAACCAGCCATAGAACAACCTTTTTCCAAATCTGGTATCTACACAGCCCATAGTGGGGTTAAGAAACTATCTGCATGGTAACATGAGAATTCAAAGTAACTTCTACATATTGGAGAAAAAGCAAAACATAAACACTCTAATGTGTCCACTCCCTGCAATTCCCACTAAGATATGCTTACAAAATTATAGCATGTTACACAATATCCTGGCTTTTGGCCCAATACACTCACCACAACTAAGAAATTTCTTTGGGGGTCTGTGTTTTATTCAGAAACTTCGTGTGAATTTTGCGTTTTTCCTCAAAATATTTCTGTATTGGTCTTTATGCTAAAATAGTATTTTAAATGATTTATCTCCTAATAAGATAGTGCAAAGAGAATCTCCATGTGTGACATGTGCTTGTGGTACCCTCAGCACTTCACTGTACTTTTAGAACTCTGGGGAACGCATTACACTGGGGCTTATTTTAGTATCCACTTCCCCCAGATACCCACAGCAAGTCCAGGAGAATCTTTCCCCTGTTCCCTTCACCCTTTTCCCCCCCTGTCATGGCAGTCATATTGAAAATGCTGGAAATTTTTACCTGAAGAGAGTGTCATGGGATGCTCCCAATAGTTCCTTCGGTCCATTGCTTGAGCACAGTTCATGTTCTTCATCTATTTTGTTCACTGATTTGTCCTAAGTGCTTGGAGCAGGGTTGGGCACATTGAAGTCCTCTAGTAACATTTGTGAGATGACTGAAATCTTCTAGGGACCTCACTTGTCAGATCTTTTGTTATGGAAAATAAATATTGTATCTGGTATCACAAAGTAAAATTTTAATGAGAATTATAATTTATTGATATTTTGTGCTAGGGATCACAAATACATTCAGCCCATCTTTTTCAGATTTGGAAAATGGGTTCAGGAAGATAAGCAACCTGTTTGTAGTCACATAGTTATTAAAAGACCTATCTATCTGAAATGACCACTTTTTCCACTAGGGCTCACTAGCTCCCACTTTCAGCACATATCCACTTTAAGGCAGATGATACCAAGAGGGCCTTTGCTCCTATGAGAGCTGTCAAGATTACTTACACAGCTTGACCCAAAGTGCTTTTGGAGTCTGAATCTCTAATTCTTTGTCAGGTCTACCTGGGGCTCACTTATGCCTCATGAGTTTCCTTAATATTTCTCTATGCTGTCCAGTGCAGTAGCCACTGACCACCTGTGTGGCTAGCGAGCATCTGGATTGTGCTTAGTCCTCACTAAGATGTGCTCTCAGTATTAAACTGTCTTAATCACAAAATATCCGATACTCACAACTTAAAAGAAGAGATATTTATTTTGGTTCACGTTTTCAGCCCATTATTGGCTGGCTTCAAGGCAGGAAGGAACAGTGGGAGGGTCTGGAGGGGAAGAGTTCTTTTGTCATGGTCCCCAAGAAGCAGAGAAAGAAGGGAGGAAGATACACCCTTCCAGGTCATGCTCCCAGTGACTGCCTCTTCGGATCATGCCCCATCTCCTGCCATCACATTGATTTATCTTCTAATTCTCTCCTCTCCTAATCCTTCTCTTTCTCTAATCCCTGTCCTCTCCTCTCCTCTCTTCTCCTCTCCTCTTCTCTCCTCTTCTCTTCTTTCCTTTCCTTTCCTCTCCTCTCCTGTCCTCTGTAGTACCCCATGATCCAATCACCTTCCCAAAGCCCCATCTATGAGCACGTGAGAGTTTTGGGGGTCATTCTTGATCCCCAAGACTTCAGAGGCTTAGTGAGAGAGGACTGTAAAATACCCCAATAATATTTACATTAATTACATGTTGAAATGACAGTATATCCTTAAAATGAATTTTATGAGTTCTTTTTTATATTATTAATAAAACATTTAAAGTTAGACATGAAGCCTGCATTTTGAATGTGATAAAAATATGGCAAATATTTAGTTTTTTATTATAGTAAAAGACACTGCCATTAATCACCCTCACAGTCATCTTCCATGGTCATTTTGACTTTGGAGAAGGCCTGGAAGTTGTCCTGTGCCGGAGCTGGTGAACAGGTAGATGAGGACACACCATGATGTTTTTATAAACCTGCCTTTACGTTGGACAATACTGGGAATTCACTGTATTTCGATCACACTTCATAAAAACACTCAAGAGGATTTCCAGAACTCCTTCAAAAAGTGGCAAGAAGAGTGGATTAAGTGTGTTCTCAACAAGAGGGAGTATTTTGAGTGAGAATGTTGTAGTTTATATCTAGATATCCTCCAAAGCCTCATGAACTCATAGGTGGGGCTTTGGGGAAGTGACTGGGTCATGGATGCATTAGGGTCCACTGATGAGTTTATAGCTAAATGTGGTGTTGGAAGGTGAAGGCTGATTGGAATAGGTGGGTCACTGGGGCATGGCCCGAAAGGGTCTGTCTCCCTTCTTCCTCCATTGATCTCTCTCCCTCTCTCTCTCTCTCTGCTTCCCATGGGCACACCATGAGCTCTTTCTTCCCTATAATCCCTTCTACCATGACACCCTACCTTGGAGACAGCTGACGATGGACTGAAACATCTACAAACTGTGAGCCAAAATAAGCTTTTCCTCTTTTAAATTGTAGGTATGGGAATTGTTTCTCACCAATGAGAAAAGTAACTCAAACAGGGATTAATGGCAGTGTCTTTTACTCCAATCGTTTTTTAATTTAAACATTCACCATATATTTCAATTAGCCATTGTATGTTTCCATTGGACAGTGCTGATACAGCTTTTCAGTCCAAGTCAAGTCTCACCTTTGGGGCTCTGTGCTAAGGTGGAGGGACACACAAATGCATGAGCCCAACCCTTGCTCCTCAAAGAGCTGACAGTAATGTGAGAAAGATAGATACAAACTAGGAATCATGATACCAGGAAACATATGCAAGCTACCACACAGTGTAGATATGCAATGCTGGCTAACAACTCTGGTCATTATTCTCCTTTCTCAGTGCTCCTTAGCCATACTTCAACACATGAAACAGCACTGCTGTGGCTCAGGGCCTATAATTTAGAACTACAGAACCCATGATCTTGGTCCCCTGACTTCCTACCTCTGTGACTTTTGCTGAGTGATTCTCTGATGAGATTTTTTTTAAAAACATAGATACAATGGTACCTCAGTACTCTCATTAATTGGTTCCAGGAGGTGCGATGAGTATCAAAAATAATGAGTATTAACCAAGTTGTTTTGGCTGGAAAGTGTAGTGAATCACAAGGGAATAACACTGGCAAGGTCTAGCTTGTATGTCGAGGTACCAAACAAGTGACTAGCACTGGAAAAAAATGTTCACATCAAAATGTGTTGAGTAGCAAATTCAACAAGTTTCAGAACAGCCAAGTACTGAGATGTGAGTGTAAAAATATCTGTTCCACCTCCCTCACTGGTTGTTATAAATGTGGAATGACACAGCAATACCTATCTCATAGAATGGCATAAAGATTTAGTAAGATAAAACAGATGTCTTAGTTCATCCAGGCTTCTATGACAAAATACCATAAACTATGTGGGTTACAAACATCAAAAATTTATTTCTGCCAGTTTTGTCTATTTCCTCATAGACAGTGCCTTCTAGCAGTGTCGCTGTTTGGTAGAAAGAACGAGGCAGGTCTCTAGCACCTCTTCTTGTTGTTGTTGTTGGGTTTTTTTGGTACCAGGGATCAAACTTGGGTCCTTAGCTTGCAAGGCAGGAGGTGGAACCACTAAGCTAAATCCCCAGCCCTCTAGCACCTCTTTTGAAAAGGTGTGAATCCCATTCATGAAGATTCCTCTTTCACAATCTTATCACTTCCCAAAGACCCCACTTTTTACTACCATCACCTTGAAGATTACATTTCAACATATGCACTTTTGTGAGACACAAATCTTAAGACCATAGTAATGGGTGAAGCATTTGAATTCAGAGTAGCACATAGTAACAGACACTTAATAAGTATCTCAGTGTTTATTTCCTAGGTAGAGCTTATCACAATCCCTGTTTACCTTGTTCACTTACTTGCTACTTGTTTATTGTTTCTCTCTCCCACCAGAAGGTAAACCTGAACAGATAAGGACTTTACTTGACACCAGTAAATGTTCCACACCTCCACACCTAGTCAAGAGCTTGATGCAGAGCAGGCTTTCAATAAATATTTGTTCAGTGAATCATGGTCCTTAAGTATAAACATAGCATGAGGAGTGCAATAAGGACAGAAAAAGGTAAAGTGAATACCAACCTAATGCTGGGATTCTAAAAATAGTTTTTCTTAGTAGTAGATATTTTAGTAAATTGGTGGAATTGGAAATGAGACCTCCAAGATGCATTCCTAAACAGTGCAAGGGGCTAGGTAGGTCAAATTCTGCTTTGTTCTTTGTATCTGTAAGGAGTTTCTAAGGAGAAGATGATAGAGGCCATAGAAGAAAAAATAATTGGAATGGGACAGCTGCCATCCAGAAACTAATTTGGAGCCAAAATTCATGTCTAAGAAAAGTGTTTAGGAAAATGCATTATGCGGTGCCCAATGTAAATATTTTCTACAACATCCACATGTGTCTGCACTAAATCCACACTAAAGATCCATTCCTTAGCAATTCACTGGGGTCTGAGGCACTTTGGAGAAATGTAACTCTTGTCTTCAATTGAAAATACATTTCAAATTATCAATTATTCATTTTAATCATTTTAATCCTTATTTACACTTTCACTTCTCACACTAGATAAACTACTCAGTATTTACACATGTGTGTCCTATTTATTTCACTTAAGAGTATGGGCTCAATATGCATCCATTTAGCTATAAATGTCTCTAGTTTCTCATTCTTTATGGCTGAGTAGTACTCCATTTTATAAAAAAA